GGAGACATTGTGTGTTTTGTGGACCTAAAAACACACACACACAGAGGCGATTTCAGGCGAGCAATTAACGTCTAGACAAAGAGTGCAAAGAGATGTACAGAGAAAGAAACAGAAACAGAGCAGCAGCACTTATCAGGTAATTACAAGCAAATTCAGAGTAATTACTCTGGCAAAATTGGTGTGTAAGAATAGAAAAGCAGCAGATTGTAAAAAATTCAGTTTGTCAAGTGCAAAACGAAAAAAGGCTCTGAAAAAAGTCTTCTAAAGAATATCTTCTTTCACACTTTCTAACTCGCTCAGCAGAGAAACTAAAGAAAATAAAGAGGTGACTTACTTTATGATGATGAAGATAAAGATGATGATAATGATTGAGTTGGGACAAAGCTTCTTTGTGTTGAAGCACAGCAGACTACAACCACAAACTTCGATCGTCGTCGTCAGACTGAGCTCAGGGACGTCAGGGTCGTTGGTAACAGATGATGCCAAGCGAATAAAAATACACACTCACACATTCCAAAAAACAAAAGTAGAAAAAGTGGCAGCCAGCAAATCGAACCAGCAATTCCAGAGGCGGGCAGAGCAAAAACAAAGCAAAGAGCAGAGACAACACCGGTCAAAATTAGCATGACCGTCAGTTTCCTTCTCTCTTCAAGTTAGTTCGTCAGTCAGGTTGACAGGCCTTTCTAATCAGAGTCAGAGATGCAGTTGTAATTAAAGTGGCAGAGGCAGTCACACACACCTGCCAAACGGTGGCATGCAAAAGAAGGCAAAAGTTAGAACAGGTGATCTGAAGAGAATACTTTTCACTTTGGCAGTTGCAGAGCATCGTCGCCGTCGCCGCATTCGCCGCCTTTGATCGGCCCATCCAATTGGAGTGACGTGAAGAGAAAGAGGAGGACAGGATCGCCTTGCAGGTATGATGATGAAGATGATAATAGTGTTCACAAAAACCCAAAAAAGAACTGAAATCCAAAACTTGACCAAAAAGAACTGAAAACTCAATCTTAAAACTGAAACAGCAGCAGCAGCCAAAAAAACTTGCGCGCGAAAAAAACACCCTCCGTGGAGGACGTTTCGTCACCTCTACTTCTGAAACTCAGATGATCAATGTGATGATCATTGAGAGAAATAGAATCTAGTCAGTTTATCCCGAAAGTCTGCTTCCTTTAATATTAATCATATTCTTCAACGTAATACACAACAAGTTAATATAAAAAGTGATTTTCAAGTTTGAGAAAGTCTTCCTCCTCCTTTTCTCAAAATTCCTCCTCAGCGAAACTGCGATGCACTGATGCGCAGGCCGACCACCTCCTCCTTGCCCACCTCGGCCAACAGGCACACCCGACAGACGGAGCCGCCGTGCTCGGGCAGGTAGCTGGCGCCGCAGAGGGGGCACTTCAGCTCGGGCTTGCCGCGGTAGATCGGCCGGTAGCTGGCCGCACAGACCGTGAAGGGGTTGTGCTCCGAGTAGTCAATTGGGTCGTGGTCTCCAGCAGCAGAAGGTCCACCGGCACCTCCTCCGCTCTCCTCCGCCGCCTTGACCGCCTTCTCGCAGGCGTGCAGCACCTGGCGCGTCTTGGTGGCCACGTCCGGTTTCGGCCCCAGCTCCAGCAGGCGGCGGGCCATGGAGGCGGCGGTGCGGTAGTTCTTCAGCTTGAAGAGCAGGTTCATCGCCGTCCTCAGCGTCAGCATCAGGTGCACCGGCTGCAGGCGCATGTGGGTGAAGTAGGCGGCCAGCTCGGCGCTCCGTTTCGCACTCGATGATGATGCTGAAGTTCCACTCGCCGCCTCCTCCTTGGGCAGCGCCTTCCGGTCAATCTCCATCACCAGGCCGAGAATGTACTCGCGGGCCACCTCCTGCAGCTGCCTCGCCTCCATCAGCTCCTGCTTGCCCTCCACACTGAGCAGCAGCGTGGCGTGCAGCAGCGCCCGAAAGCGCTCCACGGCGTCGGCAAAGCGGCCCACCGTGGTCAGCTGGTAGGCGGCCTGCAGGCGGGCGCCAATCAGCTCCGGCAGGGTAAGGGAGAGGGCGGGCAGGCCGCGGGTGAACTCCTCGGCGGGGTTCCGCTGGGGGTGGGTAAAGAGCGGTGGGAGGGTGGAGAGAGACTGGTAGGCGGCCCGGGAACGCCCATAGGTGGCCAGGAAGAGCGGCTTCAGGGGGGCAAAGTTGATGACGCCCACCTGGGGGAGGAGGTTAGGTTGAAAGGAATTGGTCAGAATATGTTTAGGAAAAAGCACAAATCACCCGAGCACTTACCTGTTCATTGAGCAGTCGGCAGGCGCTCTCAAAGGAGCCCGCCAGCACGTGGTCCACCACCAGCTTCGAGTTTCGTGTCCAGTAGTGGCCGTGCGGCGTACCGCGGCTGGGCGCCACAAAGTACGCCTCGGCGCCACCAGCTCCACCACCACCACCGGCACCAGCAGGCGCCGCCGGCAGGTCTTGAATGTCCAGGTCCTCGGTGTCCCAGCCGGCACCACCACCTTCTCCGCCTTCATCATCATCATCACCGATGGCGTCCTGCATCAGCAGATCATCGTCGTCGTCTTCTCCTCCCCCGGCGAGCAGCTCTCCATCGGCGCCCAGGTTCAGCTCGCCGTCGTCGCCCCAGGCAGCACCGCAGCCGCCTGCTCCACCAGCTCCTTCTTCATCGTCATCATCGGCGACGGCCATCATCAGACTGGAAGCAACACCTTCTCCAGCAGCAGCCGATTTGCCACCACCTCCGCCAATGACCGACTTTCCGGCGGCGGCGGCCATCGTCGCCGCCATCGCCCCCTCAAAGAAGCCCCGGCTGACGGTGAGCAGTGGCCAGTTCTCATCACCAGCTCCGGAGCCTCCACCGAGCACCGGCTTCGGCGGCAGCAGCAGCACCGCATTCGGGTCCGGCTCAGGTAGGCGGAGCTTCTCCGAAGCTTCTCCCCCAAGCTCCGCCCCCTTCTTCAGCTCCTCCGCCTCCGCCTCCAGGCCGTGCGTCCGCGCGCAGAGGTAGGCGAGCGAGGGCTGGGCGTTGGCCTTCAGAATGCGCACGCGCTCCTCGACGTCGCCCAGGTAGAGGGCGGCCTGAAACTGGGCGCTGGTGTCCTTGCGAATCTCCGCGATGCGCATCATCTTCCGCAGCTTCTCCAGGTTGCCCGTCACCAGGTAGAGGAAGCTCAGCTTGTCGTAGTTCTTGGTCCGCTGGTAGGCCATCTCCACCACCTAAAAAAGACATCGGTTAGCTATCAAATAAATCCCAAAAACAATCCCCTACCTGATGGTTGCCCTGCAGCAGCGCCGCCTCCGCCAGCCGCTCCCAGCAGGCCTTGTCATCCAGTGCGCGGGCCGCCTCCAGGCCCACCTCGATGTTGCCGCACTCGAGGGCCAGGGCAAAACGGGTCTTCTCGTCCTTCACAAAGTGCAGCGCCACCTCGGGGTAGCCCTTCTTCTGCAGGTAGGCAATGAGCGACTGGCCGACCGGAAGCTGAGCGGTGCGCACCATGCGCAGCACCTCGTCGTACTTCCGATTCACCAGCGCCAACTTGAAGCGGTACTCGGTGCTGTCGATGGCCAGTAGCTTCGGCTTCACCTCGCGGTCCAGGCAGAAGACGCCGGCGCCCTCCTTCACCCGGACAATGTAGATCGGAAGGTCCAGCGTGCGAATGATCCCGTAGTCGCCGTTGGTCAGCGCGTACTTGATGTGATTCGAGGTGGTGTAGATGAAGACGCCGCCCGCCTCGTCCCAGGCGCCCGACTTGATCTTCGCCGTCTCGGTGATGGTGGCGGTCACCTCCAGGCGGCGGTTGCACACCGTCAGCTGGTGCTTACTGAGCAGGCAGACCGAGGTGAGGTCGGCGTTCCACACCGCCGCCTTCACCTTGGGCACGGCCACCGAGGCGAGCTCGCGGCCCTGCTGCACGTCGTAGAGGGCGAGGCCGTCAGCGTCGCGCAGCAGCAGCATCCCGGTGCCCGCGTAGAAGATCTCGTCGACCACGGAGGAGGTCGATGAGGCAGAGGTTCGCCCAGCAGCGCCCGGCCCGCTCAGCGTCAGCGTCTTCAGCACCTCATTCTTCAGAGACTTGATGTGCACATTGTGGGCGCGGTCGAGGACGGCGAAGCGGTCGCGGGCGATCCACAGAGCGGTCAGGCCGGCGCCGCGCTTCGAGTCGGCGGGGCCGGTGCTGGCGGCCGCAGCCTCATCAGCCCCACCACCACCACCTCCCTTCGGCAGCTGGTACAGCTCGTAGATGGAGTTCTCCGAGTTCGGTGCCCGACTGGTCACTAGCATCGCATTCGCCGCCGGATTGTAGGCGATCGAGTGCGGCGGAATGCGCCCCCGATTGCGCAGCTGCACCACCGGGGCGTCCTTCGAGGTGGCCAGGTCCAGCCGCCGGAGGTAGTGCTCCTTCACGTAGTAGACGCCGTTGGCGTGGACGGTAAAGGCTGGGCGCTCCCGCTCCAGCTTGAAGACGACCACGCCGCCGTCGTGGCCCGCCGCAAAGAGGTTCTGCGTCGGGTGGGCCCCCAGAATCCAAAAGCGCTCGTGCTCCCGGCGAAAGGTGTTCAGCGGCGTCCGCTTCGTCAGGTCCCAGACGCGCAGGCTCTTGTCCTCCGAGTTGGAGATGATCAGGTCCTGCTTGGGGTGGAAGAGGACGCTGCTGACGTTGTTGTAGTGCCCCCGGCAGCTGTCCACCTCCCAGGCCTTCGACTCGTTCATCCGCCAGAGCTTGATGAGGCGGTCGTCGGCGCCAGAGACCACCAGCGGCATGGTGGGGTGAAAAGCGGCCCAGTTCACGCCCCGGTCGTGGCCCTCCAGGACGTGCTTCACGTAGACGTCCGAGCTGCCGAAGAGGTCCGAGGAGTGCGGGTTCTTCAGGTGGTCGTCGGTGATGCCGCCCGGCCCCGGGGCGACGTTCTTCTTGCGCAGGCCGCTGATGTCCCAGACGCGCACCGTCTGGTCGAGCGAGGCGGAAACGACCAGGTCCTCGGTGGGGTGAAACTGGGCGCACATCACGTAGTGGTTGTGTCCGGTGAGGATGCTGATGCTGGTGCGCGACTGCCAGTTCCAGATGCGAATCGTCTGGTCGTCGGAGCAGCTGAGAATCCACGGGTACTCGTGGTGGAACTTCACCACACGGACGTAGTCGAGATGGCCGAGCAGGGTGAAGATGCACCGGCGGGTCTTGTAGTTCCAGACCTAGAAAGGGAAGGGGAAAGGAAAGGTTAGAGAATGTAAACACAAACACACCGTACACCGAGATTCACAAACCTTGATCTTGTAGTCGTCTCCGCCGCTGACAAAGAGCGGCTGCTGCGCGTGAAAGTCCACGCTGCGCACCGGGCCGTCGTGCTCGTCGAACTTGTCGATCAGCGTGCCGACGCGGTAGTCCCACAGCTGAATCACCCCCGAGTGGAGCGAGGTGAGGATCCAGGGCCGCTTCGGGTGAAAGGCGAGGCCCTTCACGCGGCTCGACTTGCTCTCGAACTTGGTCAGCATCGCGTAAGGGGACGCTGAGGAGTTGGAAGAATTGTGCTGAAGCTGAAGAGCGGCTGAATTGGGGGCGATGAAGGCCAACGACTGACTTAGGTAGGCGAGCGTCGAGGGCGAGATGTGGGCGAGAGAGGAGGCGCCGGCTGAGGCGGAGACCTCGTAGTCGTCGTCGTCGGCGTCGTCGGCGGCTTCGGAGAGCAGGACGAAGAAGTGATTGCTCATCGGCGAAGCGTCGGTGAATGGCTGGGGGCAATCACCGGCTTGGCACACGGCTCGGGTGACGAGGATGAAGTTGAAGATGAAGTTTTGAAGAGATTTCTGGGAGGTTTTAGAAACTCACTTTGAAGAACTTGTTGTTCTCGTCGGCGAGAGACGTAAAGTGACAGCGAGAAAGGCCAGCTCAGCAGCAGAAACAGCAGCGGCGGCAGTGCACCACGTCAGTGGCTGCGCTGTGGGCGGGCACAGTGGCACTCTGTGCACCTGTGAGCAGTGCTAACTGCAGGTGCTTAGCGCCGCCCCTTCTGGCGCCCCCGTCGCCCCACGGCCTGGCGCCACTCGTAGAGTAGGTCGTGGGCGCTGCCGTACAGAGGAGAAAAATCTCGAGATTTGCGCTGTTGTACAACACGGCGAAAATGAATCATCACCGCTGAAGATTGAGTGGTAAAAGAGAAGACCAGATCAGATCAGATGGGTGTTAATCGGTCGGTGCAGAGCAGAGCAGTAGTAAAACAGAAAGAGAGTGAGAGTAAGAACGAAGCTGAAGAATCAGCTCAGAAGAATCAAGGGTGGTTGTTGTACAGCAGAATTCTACGAGCTCTGCTAGCCACTACCAGCAGCATATTGCTTTTTGACCGGGGTCGACAACGACGTTCCCGAGGGCGGCTTCTTCTTCGGCTTCAGCGAACTTCGAGAGTTCTTCGAGGACTCCTTCTCCAGGAGCAGTTTCAGCTGCTGCTGCGCCTCAATGGTCAGCTTCTTCAGCGCCTCGGCGGGGCTGGCCAGCGCCCAGGTGCAGGCCACCGGCACCAGCAGACAGAGGAGGATGACCACCACGAGGATGGCGATCTTCGTCCACTTCGTCTCCGACTTATCATCATCATCCCCCGAAGTTCCATTGGAGCTTTTGGTTGAGCTGGAGGGGATGATGGTGGTGATGGTGACGTCTTCGGCATAGGCATCTTCAAGAAAAAGAACAGTGACCACCATCAAGAGAAGGGCGAAAAGACAGTGGTATGGAAAAGATTTCATCATCGCTTGCCTTGCTTGCTTGGAAAGAGAGAAAATGAAAAGAGTGACACGACAACAACAGCAAAATCAAACAAATCTAAACAAGAAATTATCGAACTTGAGCGTCTTTGTTTTTAGTGTGGCGTTTTATTCTCATGTGTTGACGAGTAAATGCTGCTGCTGCTGCTGCTGCACTTCGAAATAGAAATAGAAATTGGAGGAAAGATAGAAATGGTGAAATGAAAACATAAATGAACACAACAGAAAGTGGGGGTAGATAAATAGAAGAATAGATAAAGATTAATAATACGGGTCGGTGTTACTTCTTGACTTGGACTTTGTCCAAAATCATCACCATCATCATCATCATCATTGGCACTTAGCTGCACACAGGTTTTTGCGAGGAGCTTTCTTTCTCTCTTGAGAAGGTAAGATAGAATAGAAAAGAAGGTAAACAGTGAAGGGTTAGTTGCACAGTAGTTGTCGTCAAAAGAAAGAAATCGAGGTCGTTAGTTGGTTGGGGTTAGCTGGCAGGTTTGAAGAGGGAGAGGAAAAGTCCCCGCCTCATTTAGAACTTGACATTCTTGTACTTGGCGAAGATGGTGTAGAGCACGCGAAGGACCGCCTTCAGGTCGGCGTTCACCACGTCCTCGGCGCGCACCTTGTGGCGGATTTGCTGTAGGTGGAAATAGGAAAATAGAAAGTTAGAAAGTTACAAAGTTAGCCCAAAACAAATCAAAACAAACTCAAACCCAACCACACACTTACATTAAAACCCGCGTCCTCCATCAGCTGCAGCGCCACGTTGACATTGTGCAGCTTGTGGTGCGGACTGGACTCGACGTAGTTATCCGAGCGGAAGGCGGACTCCTTGCCGGCGCCCACCGCCTCCGCCACCGGGTCGACGCTGGCGGTGGTGTAGATGTTCCCCAGCGGCACGAAGTAGCCCTCCAGCATGCCGAGGAGGAAGATGATGTTCAGCCCGTCGCTGAACTGGTAGGGGTCAATGTCGGCCATGGGGCCGCTGCTACCCGTTCCGCCACCGACCTCAATGTTGATGCGCGCCAGCTGCTGGTGGACAAAGTGGCCGACGGAGCGGCGCAGCGTGGCCAGCCGCTCCGGAGCGGAGTGGTCGAAGAGGACGTCGAAGGCGTCCCGGGGCTCGCTGGCCCGCTTGCTCAGGTCGTCGTAGGACTCGGTGAGCGCCTCGGTGGTGACCCGTTTGACGAGTTGGCCGCCGCGTTTGGTCACCACCAGAATGCTGATGGTGACGTTCGGCGGCAGGCGGATGGGGGCGCGAAAGTGGCGGATGAGGGCGACGAGGAGGTGGACGATCTGGACGGTGTTGCGGGCGTGGATGCCGGCGGCGGTCCAGCGGACATTAGGGGCCGGGCCCTGGTAGCCGAGCTGGCGGTTGCACAGCTCAAGGACTACCTTCAACTTGGAGAGCTGGTAGTCCTCCTTCTGGATCACCTCGGCGACGGCCAGCGCCTGGCCGCTGAGCTTCTCAATTAGCTTGCCGAGAATCTGGCCGTCGTAGAGGTCCTCGGTGAGGTCCTTCACGATGATGCGGTGGTCGCTGTGGTCGGTGGAGAGTTTTAGAACACAAGAAGAAGAAGAAAAAGGTTAGTGAAAGGTTTTGGGAAATTGGAGCTTCTCCTCCTCGAAAGCTCCTCACCTCAGCTCGTCGTTGATCCAGTTGATCAGTATCTTCAGCAGCTCCTGGTAGTCGTGGTTGTTGATCATCCCCGGCTCGATCATCGACCGCTCCTCATTCTCCGCCAGTACGTAGTCCTCCGGAGAGGTGTCAAAGACGGGATGCTGCGAGTTGCCGTCGATGCCCGCTCGGCCCTCCTCCTCCATGCCCTGCGCCTCCTCGGCTGAAGTAAAAGAAGTAAAAGTTAGAGGTGATGATGATGATGATGAAATAGAACATCGTTTTAAAAAGATAGGAAAAACACTCACCCTCCTTGAGCTTCTTCTTGCGGCCCAGGGTGCCCAGCGTCCCGAAGAAGCCACTGCTGCCCTCGGTTTTGTTGCCATTGGTGGCTGATCCGGGAGCCGAGGTAGGCGTCGGCGGCGTCGGACTGCTGGAGATAGCGGTGGCCATGGTGGTCAGAAGATGAAGAAATAGAACTGCTGTTGAACGATTCAAAGAGGAAAAACTGCTGCGTTGAAGCAGGAGTCAGCCAAAGAAGGACAAAGTGGCTGTTCTGCTGTTCTGTTTTGCTATTGCACTTCACTTCACACTGCTGCTGCTGCTGTTGATGATGATGGCACCAATTCACACTGGCGGAAGGAGGAGTGCTCCCCCTCAAGCTCTCTGTTGATCCCACAGCAGTAATCCCACGCAAAAAGCTCTGCTTCGCTTACTTCGTCTTCTTCCTCTTCTTCTTCAGGGCGCCACCGCCAAGAGTAGTACAGCTTTGCCAGCAGCCGAGTTTGGCTGCTGCGGCAACGGCGGCGGTATTGCCATATTTAGCAGATGGGGCGAGAAAGTGAGGGAGAGGGAGCGTTTTTGTAGTGGTATCCTCGCCGTCGTCGCCGTTGGGATGCAAAGGCAAAGCAAATGGAAGCGACGGATTGTTGCGCCCGAAAGAGAAGAGAAAGAGAGGGGAGACAGTGTAAACACAGCAGCAGCAGCAGATACCATCGATAGTGCCACCACCATCGATGCTGAGGCTGACCACGTTTTTCGGCGTTTGTTTTGGTTTCTCCCGACGATTTCTTCGGCTTCTCCCGATGTCCCGAGACGATGATAATGTCCACTACCACCATCACCGGAAACGATGACAGCGATGGTCACCACCACCAGCTGCTCAAGATCTCCCTGGCCTTGGGAGCCACTGCCGCCGCCGCTCTTCTCCTCGGCTGGAAGCTGCACCGGTGGACGACGACGACCAGGACTGCTTCAAATGCTCCCTCTTCTTCTTCTTCTTGGAAGGACTGGTTGACGCCTCGCCACAAGCTGGTCCTCGTCGTTTCCGGCGACAACGCCCCCTCCATCCTCTCAGCAGGCCAGCTGGCCGCCCACTGCGCCTCAGCTACGGTAAGCAAGTGCTGCCGATCATCAATGTCTCTCCTAGATTTGATCATGTTCTAAATCAAATCCTTTTTCCTCCTCCTTCAGATCCTCGCCTTCAAAACCGCCTCCAGGGAGACGCCCCTCTCCACGCTGCTCTGGCGACTGACCGGCCAGACGAAGGTGGTCGTCCGCAGTTCGGTCTTTGAGTTTACCCGCCTGGCGGAGGAGGCCTCGAAGCGCCGTCTCGCCTCTAGTCTGATCAAGGTTCGGGAGGCGGAGGATGATCCTCGCAGCAAAACTCGCAACAACTCCTCCTCCTCCTCATCTATTTCAAGAGCGGCCGTCCTCGCCATCGGCCCTGGACCGGTCCGTCTAGTTGACCAAGTGACGGGCCACCTGAAGTTGGTTCGGTGACACGGACACATGTGATCTTCCATTTTCCAACTTTTATATTTTTGTACATAAAAGTTAGCCAAAATAAAAACCACTGATATTTCAGCAGTGTTTGAGATTGGGAAGAGAAAAACTCGCTTTTTAGTAGCTCGTTTTCCTTGGTGCATTTTGGGTTCTATCTTTGGAATTATTTAAGGGGAGAGGGGACCACTCGGAACGAACTCCTTCCCTTCCAATTGGCCGACCGGGAACGGTCGACGCTGGAAACGGTCATCAAGGGAGCGTCGAGGACCGGAGCCTAAGCCCCGGTCCTCAGCTCCTGCTTCGCGCTCAGGAAGGAGCCCCTTTCCTCGTCATCGTGGGCTCAGCCAACTTCATGGAGTTCATGAAGCTGAAGAAACTTACTTCAATAGATCCCTTGAAGTATGAGTCTTAAGTTCTCGTACTGCAGAGAGCCACTACTTGGCGGGACAGGCGGGCGCAGGCACTACAGGAGGAGCGCTTCTTTAGGTGATTATTACCGGTGGGAGAAGGTGCTCTCGGAGCTGATCACCTTGAAAGAGGAAAGTATCTACCTTTAAGAAGGGTTTCCTGTATGGGAAAAGTCGTTTTAGTGCTGCTAATAACCGGAAATCCGAGCGGTAAGTGCAATATTTTCAGCTGCCTAAGATGTACTTGCTGTACAGCAGCAGGCTCTGCAGCAAAGGCAAGCGTCGCCGTCGTCGCTCTGACTGACGCAGCCCAAGTGCTGCCAGTGAAACCACCAGGCAAGGTTTCTTCAGTGAAAGCCCTCCTAAATTGAAAAGAACTCCTCTTTTCTTTTTATTGCAAAAAACACAGTTTCCAACAGTTGTACAGCAAGTTCGGTAATTCAGGTACGACACACCAAAAAAGAAACACGTGGCTTTGATCACGTGATCACGAGCAGAAATGCCGGATTTGCACTCTGCTGCCGTGCGAGCCCTCGTTTAGACGCTGCAGGTTGCCGAAAGTTGTTTTTGTTGTTGCCGCCTCTGTTTGTGTTTTGACGATTTGAGTGATCGTCGTCATCACCAACTTCATCAGCTTTTCTATTTCTCACCTTTTAAACATCCCAAATCTTCTTTCATCCCTTCCACACATCCTCTTCTCATTTCATTCCAAGTTCTACAATCACTCAGCCCTCATGCTCTCCTCCTCGAGCGGCCGCTCCAGCAGCGGCTGGAGCACCAGCACCGGGGGCGCCACGCCAAGGAATCCCAACGCCTCCATTGGAAACTCCTCAACTGTTGGAGCCTCCACCGTTCCACTCGATCCGCTGAAGTACGTCAACGAGATGACCTCCCGCGCCTCGGTGAACCTCGACTCGTTGCTGCAGGCGCGGAAGACGGTGGCCCTCTACGCGGAGGAGACCAACACGCAGCTGAAGCGCAACGTCTACAAGAACTACCAGCTCTTCATTGACACCTCCAAGGAGATCAGCTACCTGAAGAAGGAGATGAGCCAGCTGGCGAAGCTGCTCAATGAGGAGCACCGCCTCCTCGACTCCCTGCTTGCGCTTTCCGTTGGCGGAGGAGGGGGTGGAAGCTCAAAATCCGGCGGCGGAATCGGCTCTTCAGGCTCAGGATCCTCCCATTCAGGATCATCAACCTCGACGGGAGGTTCCTCTTCCTCTTCTTCGAACTTGGGAGGAGCCTTACGAGGAGGAGGAGGGGGCCTCGCTGATCACGGAAAGCCGAGATCAAATCGAATGGACAGCCGAGAGCAGCAGCAGCAGCAGCAGACCGCAGCTGACCAGTCGGAGGACCTCGAGGAGGAGGACCAGGTGCCCTACTGGCTGACGGAGCTGCCCGACGACCTCGACGTGTACATCGCCCAGCGGAACTTCGAGGAGGCGGTGCGGCTGGTGGCCGACGCCAGCAACCACTTCTACGCCTACTACGGGCCGTCGAAGCAGTCCACCACCAATGGCGGCGGCGGCCAGCCGGTGATCGCCGACCTGCGGGCGCGCATCGACGCGAAGACCGCCGAGCTGGTGGACGTGCTCAGCGCCGAGCTGAACGTCGCCCCCGACCGCAGCCTGCAGACCGGCCCCCGGGCCTCCCGGCGGGCGGTGGCGCTGCTGGTGCGGCTGGGCAAATCGGCCCTCGCCATTCGGCTCTTCCTCGACCAGCGCTCGAAGCTGCTGAAGCACCGGCGGGCGCAGAAGCCCACCGGAGGAGGCTCCGAGGGCGGCGGAGGCGGAGGCGCCGATGGAAACATCAGCGGCTCAACGCTGCCCTACATGCGCCGCCTCACCGCCCTCTACTTCAGCCACATCGTCGAGACGAGCAAGGAGTTCCTGCGGGCCTTCGAGATTGACCTGGCGAGGCTGGCCTCCACGGCTTCGGAGAACAACAGCTTCAACTCCTCCTCCTTCAACCACAGCAGCGGCGGCCGTCGAGGCTCCGACGAAGTCAAAAACACCTCTTCTACTACCACCTCAATTGGCTGCACCAGCGGCTTCGCCCACTCGGTCCTCGCCTGCCTCAACACCTGGACCTACCAGCAGCTGCAGGCGTACCTGGAGCTGCTGGCGAAGCACGTCTTCATCCCGGCCGTCTCCAAGGAGACCCGGGCGGAGTGCGTCGCCCTCGCCCTCGCCCACTGCGCCAAACTGAAGGCGGCCATCGGCGTCGACCTCGCCTTTGTAGTGCAGCGGGCACTCCAGCGGCCCCCCTACCAGCTCTACCAGCAGTGAAGGGGAGAAAGCTACTTCCTTTTGTTTTTGTAACACACACACACCTGTTCAATGTTATTATTATTGCCACGCTTTGGTCGAACTTGTTGAACATATGTTATTATTATTATTCTTGAATCATGGCGTAAAAATACAGAGGGAGAAATGGAGAAAGACAGAACATGAAAAAAAATGTAGAGAGAATGCAGCACTTGTGGGTAACACAGAATAATTAGTGGAGAGAAAGAGAGAGGGGGAATTCAGAAGCAACAACGACAGTGTATAGCTGTATAGAATATGATTGAAAAGTTGAAAGAAAGAGAAAGAAAAAAGCAGTGTAGAATTGAAAAGCAGAGAATTGTTATAGAGAAAAAGCATAGGCAATTGAAAGAATAGGTAAAAGAAAAAAGGTACTAATAATAATCATCGTCGTCATCATCATCATCAGGGGAGGAGAACACAGAGAGAGTTCAAGCTAAAGCNGAGAGGGGGAATTCAGAAGCAACAACGACAGTGTATAGCTGTATAGAATATGATTGAAAAGTTGAAAGAAAGAGAAAGAAAAAAGCAGTGTAGAATTGAAAAGCAGAGAATTGTTATAGAGAAAAAGCATAGGCAATTGAAAGAATAGGTAAAAGAAAAAAGGTACTAATAATAATAATAATCGTCTTCATCAGTGGAGAACACAGAGAGAGTTCAAGCTAAAGTAGTGGTAATAATTAAATAATTGATCACGATTCAGAGGAGGTGGTGGTGGTGATGATATTATTAGGTTAGTCCTCCTCCGAGTAGAAGTGATTGGCAAAGGGCAGGCCCTGCTGGACGCGGCCCACCAGCGCCACCGTCTCCCGGCGCCGGCTGGGCGTCAGCACGTGCTGGATGGCCGCCTCGCCGATGCGCAGCCGATTGGCCGCCTCGTAGGCGGTCATGCGCTCCCGCTCGGTCAGCTTCTTCTGCTGCTTCTTTGGAAAACCACGATTTCCGCCTTCATTAT